GGGGTCTGGGGGTGAGTGCAGCAGATTTGGGGGTGCCCGGCAGGTGCGGGGCTGTGGGTTTGGGGCCGATGCTGAGGGGGGCACGGGTTTTGGGGGGCTCTGGGCCCCCGGAGCTGACCCAGCCCCCGCTGTGCCCCCGGCGCAGTTCGAGCGCTGCAGCCACTTCTTCCAGATGAAGAACATCTCCTTCTGTGGGTGCCACCCCCGGAACAGCTGGTGAGCCCCCCGCCCCAGGGGCACCCCGAGGGACCCCCACCCTGCCAGGGACACCCCAAGGGACACCCCCACCCCATCCAGGAGCACCCTAGGGGACCCCCACCCTACCCAGAAACAACCCAAAGGACCCCGACCCCATCCAGGGACACCCCAAGTGACACCCACCCTACCCAGGAACAACCCCAAAGGACATTCACCCCTTCAGGGGTACCCTGAGGGACCCTCACCCCATATAGGGGCACTCCAAGGGACACCCCCACCCTGCCAGGAGTACTCCAAGGAACTCCCACTTTACTCAGGGGCACCCCAAGGGACACCCCCACCCCATCCAGGGACACCCCAAGTGACACCCACCCTACCCAGGAACAACCCCACAGGACCCTCACCCCACCCAGGAGCACCCTGAGGGACCCCCACCCATACAGGGTCACCCCAAGCGACCCCAGCGCCCCCTGCCCCCCGCGGTGCCCCGCGGTGGCTGTCCCCGGCCCTGGGGGTCCCCCGGCCGGGCAGGTCTGGGGGTGCCCCCAACCCCATGCCCCCCGCAGCTATTTCGGGTTCATCACCAAGCACCCGGTGCTGAGCCGCTTCGCCTGCCACGTGTTCGTGTCGCAGGAGTCCATGCGACACGTGGCCGAGTGTGTCGGGTACGCAGGGGACAACGCGGGGGACAGGGGGACACGGGGGACACAGGGCTGGGGACACAGGGGGCACGGCATGGGGTGGGGGGGCAGGGACTGGGGCTGTGGGGCTGGAGGTTATGGGGGGTCTGGGTGCCAGGGGACTGGGGTTCCAGGGATTGGGGTGCCAGGGGACAGGGGATGCCAAGAATTGGGGTGCCAGGGATTGGGGTCTGGGTGCCAGGGGACTGGGGGTGCCGGGGTCTGCCTGTGCCAGGTTTGGGGTGCTGTGGGTACCAGTAGTGCCAGGTTTGGGGGGTCAGGGGGGCTGTGGGTGCCGAGGGCCGCCTGTGCCAGGTCAGGGATTGGGGTGCCAGGGGACAGGGAACGCCAAGAATTGGGGTGCCAGGGATTGGGGTCTGGGTGCCAGGGGACTGGGGGTGCCGGGGTCTGCCTGTGCCAGGTTTGGGGTGCTGTGGGTACCAGTAGTGCCAGGTTTGGGGGTTCAGGGGTGCTGTGGGTGCCGAGGTCCGCCTGTGCCAGGTTTGGGGGTGCTGTGGGTGTCAGGATCTGGCTGTGCAAGGTTTGGGGGTGCTGTGGGTGTCAGGATCTGCCTGTGCCAGGTTTGGGGGTGCTGCGGGTACCGGGATCCTCCTGTGCCAGGTTTGGGGGTGCTGCGGGTACCGGGATCCTCCTGTGCCAGGTTTGGGGTGCTGTGTGTGGGTGTCAGCAATGCCAGGTTTGGGGGTTCAGGGGGGCTGTGGGTGCCGGGTCTGCCTGTGCCAGCTCGGGGGGTGCCAGCCCCCTCCTTCGGGCTCTCCGTGGGTCTGGGGGTGCAGTCCGTGCCCCCCGCCCTGGCTGACGCCCCCTCCCCTCCGTGCCCCCAGCCGAGCGTTTCAGGAATATTACCAGGAGCACCTGGAGTACGCCTGCCCCACAGAGGACATCTACCTGGAGTAGGGTCCCTGTCCCCGCCACTCGGGGCCACCCTCGGGGACTCGGGGTCACCCCCAGGGACTCGGGGCCACCCCGGCACTCTGCGTGACCCCCAGGGACTTGGGGTCACCTCCAGGGACTCAGGGTCACCCCCAGGGACTCTGGGTCACCCCCGGGACTCAGGGTCATCGCAGGGACTTGGGGTCACTCCCAGGGACTCTGTGTGACCCCAGGGACTCTGTGTCACCCCCGGGGCCTTGGTGTCACCCTTAGGGACTCAGTGTCACCCCAGGGACTCTGTGTGACCCCAGGGACTCTGTGTCACCCCCGGGGCCTTGGTGTCACCCTTAGGGACTCAGTGTCACCCCAGGGACTCTGTGTGACTGTAGGGACTCTGTGCGTGACCCTTGGGGACTTGGTGTCACCCCAGGGACTCTGTGTGTGACCCTTAGGGACTCAGTGTCACCCCCAGGGACTTGGGGTGACCCCAGGGACTCTGTGTCACCCCCGGGGCCTTGGTGTCACCCTTAGGGACTCAGTGTCACCCCAGGGACTCTGTGTGACTGTAGGGACTCTGTGCGTGACCCTTGGGGACTTGGTGTCACCCCAGGGACTCTGTGTGTGACCCTTAGGGACTCAGTGTCACCCCAGGGACTTGGGATCACCCCGGGACTCAGGGTCACCCTTAGGGACTCGGTGTGACCCCGGGGACTCTCTGTGTGACCCCCAGAGTCTCTGCCCCCCCCCCGCCGCCTCTCGGGGGTCCCTCGGGGGGTGACACAGCCCAGCGGGGGGGTGACACGGCCCGAGCAGCCCCCCCTGCATGAGCACGGCCAGCCCGGGGGGCAGCGGGCCCGCGCCTTTGGGGGCACGGGGGGGG